GTCTAATAGTAAGTTAGGAATAAAGCCCATATTAAAATTCAGGTGTCCTTCTTAGTGTAGTATTACTTGCACTACATCTGAGACACTCTGTGGAATTGCTATCAATTTTCTCTTAGGTACATAATCACGTGAGAGTAGTACCTGCCTTACTGTTGGCATTATAGGATAGCATTCACTTGATGGTAGCTTCTGAAGGAGACACTGAGGCACTAACCAGATCTATAAGTTAATCCTACAAATTCCACCAAATTAAGTGGCAGTAAATGCTACAAGTTGAATAGTACATTTAGTATGCCAAGGTGTGCATGTGGCAGTGATATCTTAGTTCCCATATTTGCAGATTCACTTCGGTAATGTTTAATAAAAAACAGACATTCCCAATGCGGATGAATGAGAAATTGTCTTAGATATATTGGGTCACTCATTAAGAGTCTGGATCAGAAAATGAGTGAAAAAATAAAGCTAACTGAAAGAAATATCATAACAGAAATGAATCTTTTATGAAACATTCTTTCATAGAAAAATAATTCCACTATTTCCAAGGCCCTGTGTATTTCCTTCTAAATCCACATGCAAATATATGTTCAGAATTGTGTGTTAAGTTCACTCAAAATCCCAGGCCCATTACACTGTCAGTTTATAAACATTGAACTTCAAGTCCTTATTTCTCTGAGACTGGGAGATGCTTGTACCATTAGCCTCACCTTTGTTTAACTGAATATTAACTGCAAATGGCTCAAAAAGGGACCACAAATTTCAGCTGGGATATTAGGGTTAAGACTTTCATAAGAATGGCCTAATAAAAAGCCTGTAACTTATACAGGTATAAGGTCTGCTTTTGATGAAACTATTATTCATGAGGCCATTACCTCATTAGTGAACTCCTTACCCAAAACTTCTTTAGTGAGTTAGAAGGAAATTCCTCTCTTTTGGTAGATGATCTCCCTTTCTCTTAAAAATGACACTAACTGCATGAATCAATAACTTAGCAGTACAAAAGCATATGGAGGCCATCCTAAGCCAAAGTGAGTAAGACTGTAATTGAATGCCCACAGGCACAGAAAATTCTAAATATTTGTTGTAATAATTTCAGTCGCGTTTTAATTGAAAGTCATAATTTCTCTTGAAATCAGTGAGGCCTGTTTATTGGTCATTAAAAGAAGAACCTTATCTGAATGATCTAAAATCTTTTGGTATGAGGAAATGGTGGGAGCTAAGAATTCTATCTTTGTATTTCCTCAAAATGGTACTTGAAAATCCAGAAAGGTAGCAGTGGAACAAATATCATCAAAGGAACTAATCAAATGGCCACACCTCCAGTCCAAAACAAGCACAATAGACATCTGGATGCCATGCCAAAGCAGAGGGCAGCCTGTTTTAAAGCAGAAGGATGTATTTGGAATTCTAGGAATGACATCTCCCTGGCTTTGATTTAGTTAATTGTCTCCTAAGAAAGCACGTGCCATACCTGAGCGCGTGCCAACCTCAGCACCCAGGCAAGTATAAAGCCTATGAAATATTTGTAACTAGCAAATATTTGTGCCCTGCATGCTCTGGGCTCTGGCCAGAAGACATCTGCTTCTAGCATCTTTTCTATGTTTCTATGGTTTCCTTTCTGATGTTTACTCATCACAAAGTAATATAATGATATCAAAGAAAATTTCAGAAAGAAATTTTTTACATAATCCCACCACCCTAACAACTGATTTCAATTTTCTGTGTTTTCAGTCTTGCCCATATGCACACTAATTTTTTACATAGCTGTAATCCCTGTTTATATTATTTAAAAGTGACTTTGTAGAATCTCTCTACGAACTGGCAGCCTAAATAGAAATAACTCATTAAGCAAAGGAATATAATTATTTACACAACCTTTGAGCTGAGAAATATCATTTATAGACAAACATCTCAAACTATCAAAACAGTTATATAGACAGCAGGAAGCAATTTTATATTTCTTTTTCTTTTAGCAATGGAATGTGCTTCACAGGGGAGAGATAGATGTGAGGACCAAGTGGTGAAAACCAAACATTGGTGTGCAATTCACAAGCCTGAAAGGAATTTGAATAACACAATTAAAGAATAAATACTTGACTTAAATCTTCTCTCGTGATTGGCCATCCAGTAGCCAAAAATGGAACATGGACGCACAAATATTTACAATGACACATCGACAAGATCAGCAAGAACGAAGTCATTACCCAACATGGTGACTGATTTGAGGGGACTGAATCATCCCAAAATCCTCACAGGATTATGACAACGCACCGGATCCTTGCTATGACATTAGTGTTCTATTCTTTCTTAAATAAATAATCTCTACTGTGCTTCTCACCCTTCCCTGACTTTCCCAGTGCCCTATTCCTATCTCAGGATATTTGGAATCGACATTCAGCCATGTGCCCTCAACTATCTCAGGGCACTCTAACAACATTAAAGATCTGGATAGATTCATCTTTGTCAAGATGAATTTTAAAAAATCTAAGGAAAGGGAATAAACCATTAACCATCTGGAGTCCAAGTTGTTTCAGGGTTCCTATGTGAATCCTTCAGCATAATTTTTGGCACGAGAAACAGCTTCTCTCTAATACTTATTAGAAATATACATAACTCTCCAGAACAGGGAAAGGGCTTTAAAAGCTGCTCTCATTTGAACATTTACATGTAGGTAAATTTGTAAGAGCAATGCCAATTGGGGTATACCATTAAGTATTGGTACAAAGTGGTGGTAAATAAGTAGCTGGCTCCTCAATGTTAATAAGCTGAACTAAAAGCAGAAGGAGCAGCCATTTCTGTCAAAGACCACTGCTCCAGGGTCTTCAAAACAACAAGGGAAAAGGTCTTTACGTACATAAGGGATGCTAATTGACAACTAGGATTTCAACCAGGTGATGTTGGCTCTCTTTATTGGCAGCACATAGTCATCAAACATGAATTTGATTTGTATCCCAGGTATTTAATTGAATTCCCTGGCACTATGAGTGAAAAACAAACTTTTGATTTTAAAATAAAACAGAAATTAAGGCCTTTGTCTCTCATTAGAGCAGTGTGGCATTACAATTTTAAGCCAAGACAAGTCTTTACAAAGTATAACATAGTATGCTTCAAACCATCATTTGATTTTCTTTACACATTTGTTAATCCCACTGTGGATATTGTCATGGGGGAGGGGTGTAAGCCCCTTCACATTTTTATAGTCTAGGAAAATAGGAAATCCATCAGTGGTGTCATCTTCTAAACATAAATATGTGCATTATATGGTTAGCAGAAATTCTAAAGAAAGTGCTTTCATTTTAAGAAAATGATAGATGGATGAATAGATGACTGAGTGGATGGACAGATGAACAGATGAATGGGTAGATTGATGGATATATATACCTCATAGAGGAGGCAGGCCTATAACATTGATGTCTTTCCCCCTCTTGCTGAATGTAGATAGGTTCTATTCAGATTCTTTATATATTACAAGAAGCCTTCTACCGTATAGATTACTAGCTTTCCAATAGCTTAGCAAAACAATTTTCCAGGACTTACAAAACTGACAATACACTAAAAGAGAAGCATATCCTTTTCTATGCAGATACCTTCCAGTTATTTATCTACTCTTAGAAGATCCAGGAACTTTTAACTGTTGAATTTTTAACATATATATGTATATATATTTGTTTTATATATTATATAGAGAAATAATACGTTTTAGAATTTTCCCTAAGACACAAAAAAGAATTCAATTGGATTGATATCTCTTAGTATACTATGGCAAATAAAAATGATTTTCACTGGGGCATTTTAAGATATTTTTGAACATGCTTTTGCAATACAAAAGTCCAAGAAACTAAATATAAACATACCATATTTTGAAACAGAACTTGGTATCCATAGGGAAAATGGGGAAAACATTGGAGATACATCTTATAAGAACTGAATGCTTACTAGATTTTTCTCCAGATCATTAAAAAACTTTGAAAGTATTATGACTTGTCAAAATAAATTAATTGTAGCATAAAGAAATGTTGGCTGATGGATCTATGTGTTTCTTACAAAACATGTGTTCCATAGCACAGGAGAGAATTCAATTAGGTATGTTTAATTTTGTTGACTTAATGTCCAATGAGGGTTTTGGTATTATACTTGTACCTTGTTTTCCTTTTGGATCTTTGAGAGACCCTCATCTTTGCTTAAATATAGATTCTCCTATCAGGATTTCAAGGTGCACAACTTGGACTCACCCAACAAAGATGTCACAGTTTCAGTATGAACTTTTTTCTAATATCATGAAGGTTAATAAGTTAGTGTACATGACAAATCAACTACCTCTTAATCATCTTTTGAAAATGTGACAGGATTTCACCATTTGAGCTTTCTTTAGATATATAGTTTTTAAAAGCCTCTCCTGAATACAGTTACTCCTCTCTGCTTTCAGAAAATGTCTTAAATGAATCCTTTCCAATACAAATGCAGAAAAATAGGTACACAAACCAAGCCACCACTATAGAAGAAGAATAAAAAATTGCAACTCTATTAGGGCATGGACTTCCACATGTTCACACAGTACTTGCTCTATTTTTTTGTTTGTTAGGGTTTTTTCTTTTTGTTATTTTTTCTTTGCGTTTTTTTCTTTTTTTTTTTAAAAAAAAAAACATTTCGACATCTTGTTTTCTGGACATCTAATGACAATGAGAGTGAAAAACACCACATTCGGTAAGGGGTTTGAAGGAGGTTTGAATGCAAGAGGGACTACTCTCTAACTTAAAAACAAACACAACACTATGAAGAGGGAGTGTGCATCTTTGAGAATTCTTTTTCTTCAAAGTGAATGCACAAGATGAGGGGATTCACTACTGGCTCTTTCGCTTCACGGTAGATGTGACCACTTGATGGTCACTTCAACATTGCTGCCCCAATGGGGCTGCAGTTCAAGCTTACAAATAAGTTACGTAATCTGAGGGAGTAGGAAAAAAGGCTTATAAGAAGTATCTATTCATTTGAAAGTTAAGAACTCCCCACCCCCTTTGACTGTCTTGTCTTCATCTTTCCTGCAGCAGTTCTATTTCAGTCTTACTCATGAAGGAGATGGAGAGGGTAAGGCTTGAAGTCCTAGCGGCTGCTGTTCTTAATTGCTTCCTTTGCAGCAATAATCAGAGGAGTCAGGCTGGAGAGAGGCTTGGCTAATTTTAAAAATGGATGCTGTATAAAGAAGAAAAAAATTACTGGAATTCTTTCCCCCAACCAGTATATTGCTTTAACTCTTCCAGCATCCTTTTCTTCATTAAACTGTATCACCCAACTAAACACCATTTAATGAAAAAAAAGCTTGGGCCAGCTTTTTCCTTCAGATTATAGTTTGTCTTTTAGTATCATGCAACCCTGTGGAAAATGACTGGCATGGCTAGAAACTCTTGTGTTTCTGGTAAATGCTCGCTGAATTTGAAATGGACTTAGTGATTTTCTTAGACTGATGAAATTATCTGGGGCAGAGCTCATGCTTGAAAATGACTTCATTGGACCACTAAAGAATTTTGCTCTGAAACCAATAGCTTTCTAATTGTGAAGTATAATGTTGTGTCTCCATCATTTCCCTGTTCTTTTTTTTTTAGTTTTTATTTTTTAACGTTGGCACTGGGACTTCAACACAGGCTCTCAAGCTCTCATTTGGCTTTTTTACTCAAGGCTTATATTCTACCACTTGAGCTATGCCTCCAGTTCTGGCTTTTTGCTAGTTAATTCAGGATATACACCTTGTGGATTTGTCTGCTGGGGTTTATATTGAGCTGCAATATTCAGATGTCAGCTAGGTTGAACCACAAGCACCTAGCTTCCACCATTTTTTCTTTCTTTTAGCTACTCTATGGTAGTTAGTGCAAGTGACTTTGAAATGGCTTCCTCATTGGGGGCCTGTGACACTGTATTTTCTTGGGAATTTCCAATAAAATACTAACTAATCTTTTTCCAACTTTTTGTTGGATTTCACTTCCTTTTCTGACCTCATATATATCAGAACTTGACTCTTACTAGCTCCTTTTTCCTTTTTTTCTTTTTTATTGTGAAAATACTGTACAGAGGGGTTACAATTACATGGGCAAGATAATGAGTACATTTCTTATCAAGCATTGTAGCCTCCTCCTTTGTTTCCCCTTCGCATCCCTTCCCATCTTCTAGCTCCTTTTTCTAATTTCATTGTTTCAATATATCCTCATTAATCTATTAACATATTGTCTATGACTTAATCTCTTTCCCAAACTCTGGCTCTACTTCTCTAAGTGCCTACAGGACATTTTATCTAGAGTGTTTTATCACATTAAATTCAACATTTAAAACATCATGTTAAAAGCACTTCCCCAAGAGCACATGCATACAACATCCAGGGGTACAGAAAAGCAACACCAGAGGGTCACATTGTTTTTTTCCTTGCAAAATAAAAACTCCAGAAAAACAAAACATATTTTCAAATTAAACTGCCAACTTTTCAGAAAGGAAGCAAGCTGTCACTGAGCCATGTATTTGATGCCTGCACTTATGATAATTGCCTAACTCAAAGTACATATCTCTTGACAGTACTCGGCTACTGTCACACATTGAGATGGAAAGCTCAATATAACTCTCTTTTTGTAATTGTCCTATTTTATTTTCACCTGCAAAAGCTCCTTGGCAGATCCTCGCCTATCCACATCCATCTCAAGACAGCGATTTAAAAAGTCACGGAATACAGCTGACAATCTCTCAGGATTCTGGAGCTCTGGGGTTCCATTAGTGGCTATCAGATATAATGCCTACAGAAAAAAATAGAATCTATTCAGCACATACATATTAGGCTCATGGGTTAGCACAGAATGCACATACCAATTTTCTTCAAATTTATACTCAGTATCCTAAAATTTCCATATTACAGAAGGCCAGTGGCATGCATTTCAATGTTTCTGTAACGTTTAGAATGGATAATATTGGCAGTAAGGATATCTATGAATAGAATTGGGATGAAAATAACAGATTATAAATTTTGAGAAATGAAAAAAAAAACAGAAGATAGTGCATAGGTGAGAAGCAACTGGTGGTAGACAAGTTTTTAATACTTTTGGAAGTTGTAACCCTATTGGTTTAAGTTAGAATTCCCATAATGTTTTGACTAAAATTAGGGGAAATGAAAGAAAAGTTTACACTAGTAGTCTTGGTACCTGAAAATAATGTAACCATTATAAAAATGTAAGTTGGTAATACTTGCTAAACATCTCTGACATTATTTTCATGTAAGATCAAAACAGAGACACTAACTCATAGTTTGCTGAAGGAATGTTTCTAGATTTAAAAAAAAGAGAGTTGAGCCCAGGAGCATGAGTAATCACAAAGGTAAATCATCCTTGAAGGTCCTTAATAGCAGAACAATCTGACCATTCTTCATGCCTCCCATGAGCAAACAATTATAGAGCATTTAGTATTCATGAGGCATTAGACATTGATGATCCAAGACAGTAATTTGGCTTTCAAAGGACACACAATTTATCTAGGGAGGGATACGTCTAGAGAGTGATAAGAACTAATATAGAAAGTTATGAAGTACCACATAAATACAAGGCTAAGGCAATTTGCACTAGAATTCAGAAAAAAAATCTTAGAGGAAATTGGCATTAGAACAGTGTCTTGAAGAATAAATTGGAATTTGTCTCCAGATATTATCACTAACATCATGTCTGCCCATATGAACATCTCCCTAAGTCTATCTTTTCGATTATGATTTTATCTTTAAATAGTTGTACCCATTCAACATATCAGTTCAGGACTGGCTTTAGCTCAGCGGTTACTTCTACAAGCATTCTCAACATAGCAGTTCATAAGTATAATGCATCTTTCTCCCCTATTTTCACAATTTCTTGTGAAATTGTGTGCATGCATGTTGATCCTGGAGCTTGAACTCAGGGCTGAACACTGTCCCTAAGCATTTTTGCTCATAGTGTTCTGCCACTTGAGCCACAGCTCTGCTTCCAGACATTTTTTGGTGTTTAATTGAAAATAAGAGTCTTAAAGACTCCTACCCAAGCTGGCTTCAAACCATGATCCTCAGATCTCAGCTTCCTGAATAGCTAGAATTATAAGGGTGAGTGACCAGTGCCTGGATCAAATTTCTTAATTTCATAGGATATCTATTGATTATTATAACTGCATTCTTCCCCTTTTCCTCTCATTCATTAACCTCTCTCCCTTAGACCTCCTCCCACCTTTCAAGTGCCAGATTCCTGGTTCCTTAACTCTTAAGAAGATTTTTGAAATGAACTCCAAGGCATGGACACAAGAGGTTTTTCTTTGTTGTTGTTGTTGTTGTTTTTAATGTACTGATTTTTTTTTGTTTCTTTTGTCTGTTCATCTCTCTATAGTATATCCCCTGTTGTCACTGTATTAGGTTTTGGTACCTTAGTTTTTTTAAAAAAAGATTTACTCCCTCCTGATGTCTTTAGCTTTGCTGCAAATTCATCATCCTTTCCCTATCATGGCTCTTAATATAATTACCACAAATAATTTTTCAATCTCCTTGCCCATGCAAGAACATCTGGTGGCAAGTAGAACAAGGCTACTTTTTTCTCAACACTATATCTTGCATGCTTTTGATGTTTAAATATTCCTCATAAATATCATTTTAATGACTGCATCATGGTTTATCAGGTAGATACACCATAAATAATGGTATTGTAGCCAATTTAAAAAATACTCATGAAAAAAGTTGAAGCACATTGACATCTAAACAGTTTTCTCCCAGTGGCCATATTATTGGTGACTTACTTTTTAAAATACACTTCTGTTTTCCAAAGTTTCCACAAAGAACACAATTGCCTGTAATATCTTAAAAGCTTCCAAAATATTATTTAAAAGTAAAATTTAAAGGCCTTGGTGTCTAATCTTCATCCATTTGCTTTGTCCTCGTAGGGTTAAACCAGCTTTTCATCAAGTACTATCCTTTCAGGGAAACAAAACCCCAGACTACTTCTTTTTCAATTATTGTTTTCATTTAAAGTGTTACAGTATTATTTCCAACTGTCTTCCATTGCAAAAATCCATACTTTTCAGTTATAAAGTGGGCTAAACTGGATTTTGTGGACTGGCCTGGAAATCTAATCACCATGCCTAATGCCACTACTATGGGAAAATGCACTCTGAGTTCATTTAAAAATGAACTTTTGGAATACATCCTGTGTGTAAGCTGAAGACTATCTTCATATAAAAGAAAATTACTTTCTTGCTTTGTATGTCCTTCCCCCATGGTATAACCCCTGCTTTCATTGTATTTGATGTTGGTATAATTTGTGGAGTTTTTAAATAGGGATACAGGTGGACCCATTGCATCAATGAGATGTGCAAGTTGTTATGTTGCAAAACAAACTTTACAACTTTGGCGGGGGGGGGGGGAGGGATTGAGGGATGGCGGGGGGGATAGGAAGGGGAATAAAAAAGAAAAAAAAGAAAATTACTACACACACCTTTGTTAATGAGAAACAAGTACTGTTGTAACGTAACAATGAAAGCAAAAGGGAATTTTAGAGCAAAGTCAAGACCTAAATGAAGAAAGACTGAGAAAAATAAATCAATCATAAATAAACACATGTTGGTTTTATCTGAGCAAGTGAAAATTCAAAGAAAATGAATTGGCTACTGAAAATCAGACTAGTGACTTCTATACTTGGTTATTTCTGACACAAGTAAAAAAGCATAGGAGTATCCTTGTGTTTTCCTCACTCAGCAATCTCCGTTTATGATACTCATTCTCTCGATTGCCCTTTGTACCTACATCTCATTTCACATTGGTTCATGAATACTTGATCCTTGTTTACAGAACTATCTTTTCTTTTGGACCAAACACCCATGGAAAGTAGTAACTGTGTCATTATCATATCTAAATTTGGCAGCAATTTGTTCAAAATAGGTGCTTAATGAGTGTTTTTGTTGTGAATGAAAAGGAAGCCAAAATGTATACATCTACTTGATCTAGAAATTTGAGAGATTGGTATAGAAGCACTAAAGCTAAGAACCTAAACTATTAAAATATAAAATACACAAACATGAAGTACCTTTTCTGAGTTGACGAAGCCTGACATGTGATAACCTTTGACTAACCACTGCTTATTGTAGAAGAAAGAAGGAGTTCCTGGAGCAGTGAAAATAAAGTGTTGCCATCAAAGGGAAGGAAATAGAGGGTGGTGCCTGTAATCCTCGGTGTTTGGGAGACTCCTTTTCAATTGATATTTATATGTAGTAGCATGTACCTGCCATCTTAATCTATGCGGAAGTCTAAAATTAACAGGAGGAATGCAGTTCCAGGCCAGCCCAGGGATGAAAACTATGCATGACTCCATGTCCATGGAGGGATGCCAGACATGATGGCACATGTGTAACATTCCAGCAAGTAAGGGAAGCCTAAAGTAGGTGCATCTTGGCTCAGGCCAACAGTCAGTGGGAAGTAAGGTCCTATCTCACAAATACCTAGTAAAAAAAATACAGTTGGAGGCATGACTTAATGGTAGAGAGCTAGCTAGCCTAGTAAGTGAGAGTTCCTGTGTTCAAATGCTAGTAATGCCAAAAATTCAAGGGTGGAAAACTAGAGAAAGATGACTACAAAGTGTCTAATATGGACAAACTCAAAGAGCTGAGGGAGAAAAAAATAGTTTATGGAACTTGAAACAGTCCAGAAACTTATCTTCTCTGGCTTACTTAGAGCACAGAAATTTCTCTTGATTAATCTAATAAAAAAATAAAAGGTCTGCTTTTTCCCCCTAACATGAGGCAATATGAGTTTCATCTTAACTGGCTTTATTTATAATGTGAAAAGGACAATGAATGGCAGAAATTACAGCTTTATTGTGATATACACATTACTTAAAGTTTGTAAGGTTTGAAATGTTTCAGAATTCTGCATAACTCTATTTAGATATTTATCTTGACATAGAACACAGATATTACTGACCCTGATGTGCAACTAAATTTACCTAAGCACTAAGAGAAAATGAGTTTATCCAGTTGAAGGGATAATTCAATTTACCTTATTGGCAATTTCCTCAAGTTTGGAAAGATCAAAGCAGTCATCATAGAAATGACCACATCTCTTTAAAGAAGTTCCAAAACAATCCATATGTACCCAATAAATTTTCATTAAGTCAGTTTTGCAACAGAACTAACCATTTAATTAAAAAGCTTTAGTTTGTGACTTCAGTTCATTATAACAGTTTATAAAGTTTGTGTTAAAACATCAAAAAACAAACCAGAGGACTTATATGGAAATGTGTTAGCAACTATAAAAGACTTCAGAATCAATACGAAGACACACTTTACAAACAGGATAAAGGTGTAGTAAAAACAAAAACTCTTTTAGTAACACAAATATTGGGGTCCCAAAACGCACTTTCCATGGAAACTATCATACATGGTACATGGGCTTAAGGCCTAATTCACTAAAGCCTATTAAACTTAGAATGTACCTAAACTATATAAAAAAAGCTTTTACCTGTATCTCAATATCTGTATGCCGAGATATAAGATTTATTGAATAATTATTATTCATGTAATTCACACAACAACCTCCTGAGGTAGACTATTACAATCATCATTGACAAGAAAGTAAATGGTCCCATAGGATTAAAATTAATAATTGACAATGCAAGAATCAGTATTTGGATCCAGATGTTATGCATCCATAGCCCATTATCTGGACTGCAGTACAAAACCACCTCTCTTCCCAGTCTCTAAGTTAATTCCAGCAGAGAGAAACATGGATAGTCAAGAACTAAGGAAA